ATGTCCTAAATTTAAAACAAACTTTATAAGGTAAATCATACTGTAAAACCTTAGGAAATCTAAAATATAGTCATCCCAATATAGAATGAAACCAAGTGACACATTATTCAAATATTTGTCCCAGCTATGCAACACAGAGCAGAAGACCTGTGGCCTAAGAGGTACGTGCATACACAAGGTGAGGGAACCTAGGGACCGGACAGCAGCAGTCCTAAGACCCACAGGGCAGCTTTTCTTACTGTCTTGCCCTGGAGGCACGCTTTAGGAGTGATCAAACTCACTCAGCAAACATGCAGAGCAACTGTCACACAGGGCTCCAGGGCCCAGAGCGCCGAGGGTCCCTGACTTCTATGGCCAGGCACAGAGTCCACCTACGAAACTGGAGTACCCACCACCTGGGGGACAGCGCACAAGAGGACTGAGTGGTGTCCAAAATACCGGTGGACTTCCTCACCTCTGCAGAACTGGCCTTTCCCCACATCTCTCCCCTGCAGAGGCCTAGAAATGGGGCTCCCCACCTCAGTTATCAGTGCCCTCCTCCCACTGGCCAGCAAACTGGCCCCGATCACTTCCACAGGCCGGGAAAGTCTGGTGTCTGCCACCCCGTCCAGGAACAAGTAAGAGCTCTTTATCCTCAATCTGCCCTGGAGCATTCACCAAAGGCAGCCTAGAGAAATTTTCACGTCTGTGAACTAGGAATTCAAACTGCAATGGTGGAAAGAGGCTCTCCAGTAAAGAGACTGAGAGAGCTTACTTTGAAGACAAGGTCAGGCCAGTAGGTTCAGGCCAGATACCAGCCAGCTGGCCATGGCAGCACACACTTGTCATCCCAGCACTCTGGGAGGCTGAGGCAGGAGGATCACAAGTTCAAGGTCAGCCTGGGCAACTTAACAAGACCTTATCTCAAAATAAAATAAGTAAAAAGACCTCAGTGCTTTCTGGATTCAGTCCCAGTAAGAAAAAATAAAAAGCCAGATGCCCTTACGCATGCTTTAAGGCCTATCTTAAAGGTCACCATCCTGATCATCCAGGCCTCTCCCCTTCCCTCCTCGAAGGAACTCCCTGCACCCATTTATGGCACCAAGCCATCATGGTGACAAGTGCAGGGTCCCGTAATTATTGTGACTATGGATGGGGCGGGTGACCTGCTCCTCCACCAGATCAAATGGCAGGGTCAGTCCACACAAGGGCATGTCAGTTTTACTCAGCTCCATTCTAGGGCCTCAAATACAGCATCCACCCAAAGCAGACACTAGCTGTCCAGCAAACAAAGGGAGGCCAGTGTCTGAGGCCCCAAAAAAGCCCTGAGTGGGGACAGCAATCAGGGATGATGGTTTAACAAATCATTCTGGAAGGGCAACACCAGAGCTGGAGACAGGTAAGGGAAGTAACTTCGGGAGACGTCTCCAGGTGAACGGTGACTCAGTGGCTCAGAGGGAGGGCAGCCAGTGTCTGGGCACTGGAGAAGAGGTAGCTGTTGAGACTCACTGCAGAAGCAGGATCCAAATGGGCAGTGCCCAGGGGGCCGAGGGAGGCAGGGACTCTAACAAGCCCTGGTGGAGACCGCAGCTGGTGTGCCATTCTCAGACTGGGAAGACAGAGAGCGGCAAGCACTTCCTGAGCCTCTACACTGCCGTGCTAGCATAGGGCAGGTTTGCGTCTAGCTCTAAAACTGTAAGATTAAAACTTTAGACCCAACCTAGCTATATCAAAATGGACATGGTTCTATTAACAGACTCATAAAAATAAACCAAAGATCTGCATTCTAAAGCACTTCAGGGTGCAGGCTCTGTCAGGCATCACTCCAGTCCAAGTGCATGAGACTAGGAAGTGGTCTTGGCCTTCGAGGAGCTGCCCGTCCTTTGGGTTTGATGAGAACTGACTGCCTGTGGACAGCTGGGAGGCTCAGGCCAGGAAGGCTGTGATCTGACTGCGCTTCTGGAGCACAGACTTTGTACCCTATGTTAAGGGCCCAGGCATTTGACCCAAGCCTCTGGGAGATGCACAGAAAGGAGGCCCAGCTTGCTCTGTGCCTGGAGACGCTCCAGCACTCAGCACCACGTCCCACGGGTGGATGATGTCCTTGCACTCTCCAGGCCTTGGCGCACTCACACAACGGCAGACTGGAGAGCACGAGGGAGGGCCGGAGGCCTGGCTGGTTAGGGAAGAGCCAACCTGAGCAGAGGCCAAACACTGGTGCTGCCAAGCCAGGCTCTCGAGAGGTTCTGGAAGGGGCAGCAGAGAGACAAGAGTTCAGGGAGGGAAGACCAGGGGCATTCTTGAGACAGGGTCCTTCTCCACTGACGGTGAGCAATGGTTTCCCAAGTGAGGTAAGGCCACAACCCGAGGCAGATGTGCAGAAAAGCAGGCGCAGAAATGATCGTCTCGTGAACAGCTCAGTTTCAGCTCATCCAGAATGGACAACACACTCACAGCGCTCACTCCAGAGACCACTAAGTGCAAGGGATTTGACAATGGCTCTTCCCAATCAAAACCAAAACCTCCCCTTTGGCCGGGGATTTAGCTCAGTGGTTCTGCTGCCTGCCTCTAAAGCGCAAGGTCCCAAGTGCAATCCCCAGTACCAAAAAAAAAAGCCTCCTCTTCACCCAGAGCTAGCACCCCATCCCTCTCCCTCCTCTGCAAATGCTTTGGACAACAGCTTCATCCTCTCTACCTTAACTTCCTTTCACGCACTCAGACCTGAGTTGTTTTCCTGCCACTTGACCGCTTCATCCCTCCTCAACCCCAAGAGTGTTTCCCTGCCTGGAAACCTAACCTACCCTCCAAGACCAGTTCAACCATGGCCGCAAGCCAGGCTGCTCACAGATCCCACTTCCGCAGGTTCTTCCTAACCATGCTTTATTTATATCAGTGCTAGGGACCATGGCTGCTCAGTATCTCCAAAGATAACATTTTTCTATTTGGTTTCACTTTCCATAGGAAGGAAGCACCCTCAGTAAAGTTTAGGTGAACACTATTTCCTGTGAACAGTAAAAATATTATGACTGCCCTTCGATTTTAATAAGAACATTTATTCTTTTTTTTTTTTCGGTACCGGGGATCAAACTCAGGTCCTTGCGCTTGCGAGGCAGGCGGCGGAACCAGTGAGCTAAATCTCCAGCCCTTAATAAGAACATTTAAGTCTTTCTTTTAAAGAAATCTGATTAAAGATTAAATCTGAACCATAAAGACCCAATTTGTGTTTTGGTCTAGAAAAGTAAAAATAAAAATTAGTACAACTTGAGTTTTAGTAAGTTTTAAACTAATGGAAATAACTGCAATAATACAGAAAAATTTAAAACAGGAAAAAATTATTAGGATGAGAATAATCTTTGTTTACAAAATGAAATAAATTATGTAAATTTTAAAAATTGGAAGACGGCACTCAAAGTTTCCTGTTCTGAAAGTACTGCAGATGGGAGTATTCAGCAAAGTTAGCACCTTGCACTGGATTTTCTACACTGCTTCACTACATGACCTTGGGAATGTCATGTAATTTCTCTCACCTCTAGCTCTGTAAAATGGGAATGTCACCTGTTTTCTTCCCAGGGACAATTAGTTGGATAAAAGAATCGGTATGTATTTGGTGTTCTTTAAAATAAGGCAACGTTGTCTAATTAGTACACTTTAATCACTACTTGTACAGTATATTCCTCTTCGGGAATCCAATTCCAAGAGAAGTATTTAAGCAGACGTTGAAGACAGATTTCCTTAAGGGGACGATTTTATAAATCTGGAAAGCAATGTAACAAGATTATAAATTAACAAGTTGATTACATAAGCCTTGACAGCCCAGGCTTTAGAGTACACCGATACACATTCTGATCAGTTAAAGACTGATTTGGGCCATAGCGAGCCTGTACTATGAGGAACCCAAACTGAGGCTTTCCATGTTAGACAGGAACTTGTGGAGATTCAACAGGGCGCTCAGCACTTGCAGTGCCATAACCTGCAAGCCTTTCTCCACTTTAAGCCTGACACAATGCTTAACGCCTTAAGTCAGCCTCGCCACAGCTAAGACTTTCAGATTGTGCTTCATTAAAGGGAAGTGAAAGAAAGTAACCTGACAGGTGGGAAGGTCCTGTATCTTCAGGCGAGCACGGATCTGGAAACCCACTGCTGAATTCCCCCCATACTGCACTTGACCAAAACTCCCTAGGAAGCTGAGGGCCACCGCAGATCTGACTGTCAGGAACAGCACAGCTCCAGGCGCCAGCTCCAGCTTAAAGGCTGCCAGCGTGCTGGGTCCCGGTCCGGTCCGAGCGGATGAGGTTTCGTACACCGGGCCGGAAAGAAATCAACAGGCGAAGGCTGCAGAGCAGAACCCAGGTCCCCAACCCCAGGACCGCGCTCTCCCTCGAGAGCGCCCGGCTCCCTTCTCCTCACCCCGCTGCCCTCGCCCACAACAGCCCCTCGGCATCGTGCGCGGCCGCCGGCCGGGTCTCGGGACCCGCGGACGAGCGGGCCCACGGGAGCCGCACACAGAGCGGCGGCCGGCGCGGAGCGCCGGGCGGGGCGCGGGCCTCCGAGGTGCCGCAATCCCGCCGCGGCCGCAAGGGCAGGGCCTCGGGCG